TGTTCCGTATCAAGACCGTCATCATCATGTGTATGATCAACAGTGTTCCCCTACTAGACCCGAGCAATGAGCATGTATGTCACATGTTCATATACATAAGGAGCCGAGAAATGTAAATACCAATGATTGTTCCGGTCACCGTTTTGCATGGCTTCTTATACGGATACGAAACAGGCTGTGTAATTTTCTTGTTCAGTATGATGAAAACTCCAGCAGATGTGGTATCATGCGAGCCATAGTTAAAACTACCTCAATACTCAAAAATGTGTTGATATTGTTGACCGTCTAATGCTTACACCGCAAGTGTTGTTTTTTGTAGTGTTCTGGATTAGTGGTTAACTAGTAACTGTTTTATAACTAGTACTTGTTGAGAAATTCGCCTAATACCTCGTTAATGCTTGAAACACTGAGGTACAGAATAGACGAACTTCCAAAATCATCGAATTGTCGCTCCGGAAATCAAAACATGTTTACACGAGTAGCTACTTGTTGCTTTTATGCGCCCTCGTTCGATAGTTGAGCTACTCGACGCGCAACCCAATTTTTTCACGCTCATGTATGTATAGCCTGGCTTGTTGACGTATTGCCCTACAATAGCCAATCACACGCAGAGCTTAAAACAACCAGTATGTGCCATGCCCATTTAATGGAGAATTCACGCTGAAATCTGGCCAGTGTTCGCTTAATCTTTTGTTTAAGTTAAACCCCTCTCTGTTGATGTCCTATCTGTCTTGGATGGTTCTTGGCACGGCAAGCTTACAACTGTATTTTGAGACTTCGCGGAGAATCAGCAGCGGCAGTGGCAGGTTGATGCAAAACAGCCTATACATGTCTGGCAATATCGATGCGATGCGAAAAGGACATGTTGTCATTGCAGCATCATTGAGTACCTTCTCGTATTCGTTCCCTCCTGAGTCAAAGCAGTGGCAATATGGACAAGTCAGCTACCTGTCTACATTTCGTATGATATCGACTGTACCGATACCGAAGTATCATTACTGCAATGAGTTGTTTTCAAGAACCCATCTTGATGCGTTTAAACAGGAGTATTAGCTTGTTAAGCAGGCGCGCGCGCGTTGAAATGCTATATGTTGTCATTGTCATAGGTTTTGGAGTTGACCACTGGTGGGTTATATGTTGAACTGGAAGACGCGTGTTTACATATCGTCCAGTAAACTGCGTAGATACACTGCTGTGACCATCATACCTTAGTCCGACGTCTACTAAAAAAGCACGCGAGGTTGACATAAGAAAGTCTGCGCGCTAATAACAATGTGTTTCTGAACACCGTCACGACACTACAGGCTTCGTTCATTGCTGCATTCCTCAGGTGGATAGCAAACAACAAGTAGTAAACGTGTAAGACTCTGTAGCAGCTAGAACGACAACATGTTTGCTTAGGTGTCCGAACTTGCGAAGATCTCGTGAAGATCTCGCCCTGTTTCTGCTAGCCCGGAGACTTCTAACATTTCTGCCTTCTAATTTAATTCTAATCTCCCAAAACTCAAAAGAATCCAAAACCTCCAAGAATGCCCAAACGTTCCTAAGGTCCCACAACCTGGAAAACTTTGCAACCGATCAACATGTTCAGAGTTTTCCGTGGACAGATTCCTGAACATTAGGGAAAGTTTGGCTTGAGTCTTTATTCGAATTTCTGAACTGCCTAGATTTCCGAAAATGCCAAACATTGTTTAAACGTCAGAAACCAATGCACAGGATAATCCGAAACACATGAGCAATGGAAAGAGATTTTTGATGTGCAGGGCGTCTTAACCTATGGAATTAACTGTGAATGTGTTGTGATATATACAGGAATGCTGCACATCATGGCAGGAATCTCTTGGATTTAACGGGAACATCGTTTGAAGACACGAGCCTTGAACCCAGGTAGATGCAGTGTCTGATTAGCTTGTGTGTGTGTGTGTGTTTTTTTTGTGGTGCCATGTGTATGTGTATATGTAAACATATGTATTTTTATCTGGATATGTATGTACCTATAAAAAAGAAAAAAAATATATATATATATGTATTTATACATATCTGTGTGCGTTCGTGTTTGTACACATGGGTGAGCATGCACGTCGATGTTGTCTTCTGCTTACTCTCTATTCATGCTTCACTCATGTCTTCAATAGCTTCAAACCTTAACATATGCAATACCCGGGAATTTTGTCGGCCTCATTGTGGTATTATTGCCAGCAGTGGCATTGGGCACCGGTTCCATTAGACATAGTCTGCTCATGTTGAATGGGCTCGGGCATACTGTTACATACTGGGTTGCAAGCTTCTCTTGTAATACAAACATTCATTGTCGAGTCACACCCTGCGTCGGCATACATGCCAGCACAAATGCCAACATCCGATCAAAAGCACTTGTTGACGTGAAACTCTTGTTTAAGAACACCATACTGGCAGTCTTGGTGGCACTGTGTCTCTTGTTCATATTCCTATTTCTAACGGTGTTCGCAAGGGTTAGTCCTCATTTAGAAGTAGTTCAAGCACGACGGATCGGAACCTTCAAGACATCTTCGAAGCAGCGCAAGGTTGCCACATTGAATAGCACGACCCATTGTTTGCCAGATCAAACCTGGGTGTAGCAACTCATATTTTGAAGCTGCTGTCCTCTACTTGATGTGGGCATTACTGCCTGCTACCAAGACAAAGATAATAGTGTTCGTAAGAGCGCGACTACAGTCATGAACCTGGTTGTTCAATTCAAACGCACAAAGTCCCGCGTTGTCAAGAACAAAGCTGGGCGGGAAAAGCCTTTGTAGGTAATCATTGGTACAAGTTTGTAGCAGCATCCTCGAGGTGTCTTCAGCGTCCCGTTACATAAAGTGGTTGCAGTGCTTTGCTTGTCTAGAGTCTAGGCCTGCAGAGCCTTTCCAGCACAGTCCCATCTTGACTGTCCGATACATGACAGCGCGGCGCGGATGTGCAAAATTTTGCTGGTGCTTTGTAGGCGGGAATGCACTGGGAATAATAGGGGAAGTAAGTTTTCAGTCACACACCCACACACCGAAAGACTGACATCTTGCAACATGTAACCATCATGTACTACATGCGCCACCACTGACATATTCTGTCCGAAGCTCCATGTGAAACCAGAATGGTTTAACAAAGTACTTGCTGCAACTAGAGCCATGGCTTTGGACATCGTGCAATGTTAAGTCCCGATCAGATTGAAAAATGTTTCCATGCAAGTGGTACAGGTACAACCAATCGGCTGCACCAGCTTGACGCAAAGCTTCCACGGCTTGGAACAGCAACGCCGTTGCATGCAAGAACCCTGGAAACCTGTTGCATACGCCATCACTCTTAAGCGTCTTGGGTCAAAAACAGCGCTCATTCCATTTTTTTGAGATTTGGAAACGGTTGTTCTTGCGTGGATTCCGACATTCCCGTGATTTTGTGCCCCGATGCCCGGAGTCCCGGAGTCAAGAAAAATCGAACACCTTGGTTCTCCCAGTGTGTTTCCGGAAGGTCTTTCGGCTGGATTGAAGAATGCCCTAAATTGTGTCTCAAATGCAGTTGCATCTGCAAACTCATGGCAATCATTTTTATGTTCCGAAAGTTCCTGTTTTGTAACACACATGTCCGGGAATCGAACATCATGATAAACCGTGGCTTTCCCAATGCGGTTGGAGCTCCTGCGTACGCTCGTATTGCGAAGCACAGTGCTTCTAGTTCTAGTTGACATGTCCACATATGTGGAAATCCAATGGTTCCCAACTTTAGGACCAAAAGCATTGATGAGACCAACGTCTTCGACCCTTCCGATTCCGGAGACAAACTGACCATGGAAACCAGTGCTCTTGGCAGCCGGGGGCCCAAGAGACATCGGGTGAGTCTACCTTCCCACACCGGCCAGAAGTATGGAAACATGGAGCATACTGAACAAAGCAATGCTTGCGAACTGACGGCTCCTAGGCACTCGCGAAAGCACTAATTTCAAAAGAATTGACACATCCAAGCTTGGAAAGCCCAATGTTTGGTTGTGGCATGGCCTACGAACAGTTGAGAAGACTTTAAGTTTGCTTTTGGGATGCCTCTGCGTATGGGCTGCCAAGCAAGAGAGTTCGGGGTGTCTCGTTGATAGTTGTAGTTCCATGGCTGGAAATGAGTACAACTGTTGAACACTACCACCTGACACACGCAAACAGTTTGTACGAACTGTCTCCAGCACTCAAAAGCTCAAAAGGCCCGAACTGCTTGCACCTTCCAAGTTTCTCATGTTTGCCAGGGCCTGAACCCGAAACAGAAGGCTGTTGGCAAGGTGTGCAAAATAGGACAATTGCTGACTGTTCATGACAAACTCTGAAATCTGAACTCCTTCTGAGATTGTTCGGCCGCTGTTCAGTTGCGGAAGAACTAACCCCAAAATTAAACGGTCCAGTACTTTTCACGCGCTGCTTTCGCGACTTGAAAGTTCTTGTAAGCCCGTACTCGAGTTGAGAAATCTAAGCCCAATCTATACACAGATTTTATCCATACATCGATGTATCGGCGCGTGTATATATATATATATACAGATACACACATACATACATACATACATACATACATACATACATATATACATATACATATATATATATGTATATATATATACAATTCATTAGATCCCGAAGCCCAACTCCTTAAAGGTAAATGTGGTTCGTCTCGATTTGGTTCTCAACAGAGGTGTATGGTCTTGACTTCCGAGGCCCAAAGCTTTCTTCTAATACCCTGCAGTTTCAGTACCCACAAGCAGGCACAGCCAGGCCAGGTTCTGACAAGTCCCACCCATTGCCGATATGAGGGTCGAGGCGAGGGCTGATTATCAGTCCAAGGCCCAGGTTTCAATTTGTTCGCATGCAGACATGTTGGAGCACACTCCAATAAGACCGGCTGGTCTGTTTCTTGAGCCTTCGGTTTTTATGCATTCATATCGTCTTGAAATCCAGAGACTTACTTACAGTGTGATCTCAGATCCGTTTGTAGAGTTGAGGTTGGTGCAAATGGCCGTCAGCTGGTCAAATCTCAAAGTTTACGTTATGCGTGTTGTAAGCGTATCCTGATTATCACACCGAATCATCTCAAAGTAGTAAGTTTGAGGAGTATGCTGAAGATGATGATGGTGATGATGGCAATGACGACGACTTAAACCCCCAAAAGTCTTAAACCCTCATCCCTCAGAGTTTGGGGCTTTAGGCTTTCAGGGCGTGGGTGTTTAAGTTTTTAGAGTTTCGGGGCTTTGGGGATTTAGGCTTAGTCACGGGCGTTTTTTCAGTATGGAAGTCGTTATGAACAGGTTTAAAGTGGCATCATAGGTATCCTAGTTACCTTTGCCTGGTATCCTAGTTGTTTTGCCTACCCCTTACAGCCTTATGTAAGACAGAAGGAGGAGGAGAGAGAGCTCCGACTCTTCGAACGGGAGAAGAACGAGCTCCAAACTGAGCTGCGCCGGCAGCGGCAGCAGTTTCGTACACTAGGCGCCCTGGTGGGTTTACGATGTTCTGCAAGGTTTAGCGGTTTAGGGCATAGGGGCTTCGGGGTTAGTTGAGGGGTTTCGCTTTTGGCCGTGAGTGTAGTAGTTTAGGGTTTGAATGTTCAGGTTTTTGGAAGTCAGCCGTCTATAGTTTTTTCGATGCTCAAGTGTTGCCCGGCCACAGTTGTCCCTAAGACCTGCTTGAGTTCTTTCAGCCCTGCCAAAACACTTCAGCCTGTCAGAAGTGTCTAGGTTTAGGGCTTATTGGGATGATTATAGGGTTTAGGGTGTCGGGTTTAGGGTTTAGGGGTCTGAAGGGTTTTAGGACCTTCCAACGCGCTAACAAAAGCAAAAGCTCGAAGCCTCAAGTAAAATCCTCAAGCTCGAAGCCTCCATTCCGATTCCATGAATCAAAGGGGCAAAGGAGGGACCCTTAATGGGGACCCCTACCCTATAATGGGCTATATAATGGGTATATAGTAGCTATATTAAGGGTATATACCTAGGGATCCTTATTAAGGGTCCCTCCTTTTACCCTTGGAATGAAACCAAAAGCGTGGACCGCAACCGCCGGATGCCTGAAGCCCTCAACAAACTCAGGGGCCAAAAAAGCACATAAGCATAAGCATTTGGGCTTCACTATAAGGGGGTTTATAGGGGATATCCCTATCCTACTTTTTGCTTATGTGCTGTTTTGGTCCCCATAAACAGCTATGAGCCCAAAAGTGCTGCACCCGACAAAAGAAGCCCGAGGGCACAAAACCGACAAAACCTCTGTGCCGGAAACTCTGAGTCCCATTCCCAGCAAGAACCCAAAGCAGAGAGTATGACATGCTTTATAGGTAGTATTATTAGGGAGACCCCTTCAAGGGTATACCCCTTCTGAACCCTACTTCTGGCTCTCTTGAAAAAAGGGGGCCTTATTTAGAGGGTCTATATCCCCAAGGCTCCCCCTAATCCTAACTCCCACCAAAGCAGAGAATATGACATGCTTTAGACTGCTACCAGTCCCCAAATACCGTGTATCAACCCATGAATGATGATCCCCCCCAATCACACTGTTAGGCAGTAACTTGGGATGCTTTGAGAGAAGTCAACATGTCAGTCATGGTCTTGCAGATGTATCAAGTTAGAGGCAATCCTGAGGGCCCTTCAACTACAGCCCAGCCGTGAACAACTAAAGACCCCCAAACCTGTAAACCGCAAAGAAACCCTGAGGCCGAAACTGAAGCCAAATATGGCTGCACCAGCCTTCCCCCTTCAGGATTTTCGTCTAGCAAAGATACCTGCGGGTTGGAAAAGAGGCGCTTCAAAAAAACCAGGCGCAGAAACTCACCGTGGATCCCTGAACCCTAAACCCTAAGCCCCTAAACCCCTAAACCGCCCTAAACCGTAGAATCCCGGATCCCAGGCTCTCTCTTGGAGGAGCCCTGGCTCAATGAAGTCAGCTGAGACCACGGAAAAAAGTGCCGCTGGGTTCCCCCATTTAGAATCCACCAGGGTTTAGGGTTTAGGGTTTTTTAGGGTGTAGGGTTTTTAGACTCCACCAGAATCCCCTTCATCAACGATAGAAACTGAGCAACAGTGGGGCATCCCAGCTAAGTCCCCGCAGCAGTACAATGCTAACCTTGTTATCTTACCCGAGTGTTTCCCTAATTGACTGAAACTTCTTTGAAAGAGTCACAAAGACAAGGAACTGGTATCTTCATCAGAACCGGGATACTGGCAAAATAGCAATAGAGCCTCATCAAGCCGCCAGAGGATCCGTATAAGCACCTCATAGACGCTGTACACTGTGCAAATTGTAGTCGGGACCCTAGCAACAAAGCCCGCACATACAGGGGGATTAGGAAGTAGGGGTCTACAACAAGGTCCATATAAACCCTGAGGCCTTATAGAATCCTCAGAGAGCCTGTGCAGACTTGTAGTACCCTGAAAAGAAACGTTGAAAGGAACCCTTCAGGGAGCCGCCGGTTTTGCACCTCCAACAAGCTCGACTGGACCCAAAAGGGAAGACCCCACAACACAGCATCGTGAAGCCTCCTTGTGTGTCTCTATGCATTACATATTATACAGATATATGTATATACATATATACACATACAGATATGCAAGTACGCATGGATGCATGTATGCACGTATGTATGCATGTGTGAACGTGTGTGTGTGTATATGTGCATATGAATTTCTGTATATATGTATGTATGTATTTATGTATGTATGTATTCATGTATGTATGTATGTATGTATGTATGTATGTATGTATATATGTATCGGTAGCTGGATGGACGGACGGACGGACAGATGGATGGATGGACGGAGGGATGGATGCCTGCCTGTTTGTCTGTCTGCCTGGGTGTCTGTATGTACTGTATGTATGCATGTATGCATGTGTGGAAGTAAGGATTTGCGTGCATGTCTGCCTGTCTGTCTGTCTGTCTGTCTGTCCGTCTTTCTGTCTGTCTGCATGCCTGCTTGTATGTATGTATGTATGTATGTATGTATGTAAGTCTGTAAGCTTGCACGTATGTACATATGTATGTAAGTAGCATTTGTCTGTCTCAGCGCGTTTTTACTTGTATCGACATAGATAGATAGATAGTCGAGTTTGGTACAGCCTGCACTTCAACCCCCAAGTCATACACAGGGGCCTTAATAATTAATTAGGATAAGGTTTGGGGTATCGGGTATATTATACCATAACTACATTAAGAAACCCTAAGGAACAGTGCTTGTAATCATTCCCCCGAACCGTAAACCCCAAACCCGAAGCCCTAGCCCCTACACCCCCTAAACCCCCTACACCCAAAACCCTAAACCCCGCAAGTCTAACCTGCTCGCGCAGCTCATGTACATCGGCCCGGCTGGATTCGCGGGCGGTGACACTGTCGTCGGTGGGGGGATTCGGGTTCAGAGTTCAAGGATGGATTCCACGGGGAGCCCGAAAACGCCAGAAGCCCCAAGCCTCATTGACACTCTAAACCCTGGTGGCCCTGAGCCCCTCAGCCCTGCCCTCCTCCAAAGTTTGCGGGACCACCCCACCCTAAACCCTAAACCCTAAACCCCGAACCCTCAGGGGCTTAGCATGATTTTTCGGACTTGGGGTGTAAGTCCCAGGCCCCCTGCCTTCAACCGCAGTTCAAAGGGGAAAAGGAGGGACCCTTTATGGGGACCCCTAGCCTATAATGGGCTATATAATGGGTATATAATGGCTATATTAAGGGTATATACCTAGGGGTCCTTCTTACGGGTCCCTCCTTTTACCCTTGGAGCAGTGTTCAAACCCTAAACCCTAAACCCTAAACAGGGTTTCGAGCGCTGGACCTGCGATAGCTTGCTTTGGGCCGGGAGTTTTCCAGCACCTTGTGGAGGGCTGTTAAGCTTAGTGCTCCTGTTAAGGGTCCCATGGAACTACAAGAGGCCACCATGCGAGCCTTGTAGTACTTTTAACTTGTCCTCCACACAGCACTCGGCGGCCAAGAACAATCTTACTTAGGCCCTAAACCCTCAACCTTGAATGTCAGAGCTTGCGCCGCACAGCTGGTGGAATCGAGCTCCACAAAGCTACCTACTATTTGCTTAAGAACCCCCCCCCAAAAATAAAATAATAATCCCTATATTACCCCCAATAAGGAATATATTTTTTATTTGCTGGGGGTTCTTAAGCAAATAGTAGCTACGGGTAAGAGACCTGACCAAGGAGCGGCCCTTCCCGCTTGTGGACGGTTTAGGGGTTTAGGGTTTAGGGTTTAGGGTTTAGGGGTTTAGGGTTTAGGGTTTTTAGGGTTTAGGGGTTTAGGGTTTAGGGTTTAGGGGTTTAGGGTTTAGGGGTTTAGGGGTTTAGGGGTTTAGGGGTTTAGGGGTTTAGGGGTTTAGGGTTTAGGGTTTAGGGGTTTAGGGTTTAGGGGTTTAGGGGTTTAGGGGTTTAGGGGTATAGGGTTTAGGGTTTAGGGTTTAGGGTTTAGGGGTTTAGGGTTTAGGGGTTTAGGGTTTAGGGTTTAGGGGTTTAGGGTTTAGGGTTTAGGGGTTTAGGGTTTAGGGGTTTAGGGTTTAGGGGTTTAGGGGTTTAGGGTTTAGGGTTTAGCTTGACATTTCGAGGGGCATTCGACAGAATCTCCAGACGAAGCGTGGCCCAGTTTCTTGCCTCGAAGCTCCAGTTTTCGGACAATGTCCGAAAGCTTCGACACCTTCTTGCGCAACTGCATCCTAATGTGTTGTCTGGAGTTGTAAACTCTCGGTCCTCAGTATTAAGCAAGGCTCGCCTGAGAACACCGAACTGCTCCGGGTGATTCTGTCCTTCAGTATGTCAGCTCCACGAGTCGTGGTCGGACTCACGCCGCCCACTTGAAAGGGTTGATGTTGACATGGTTTCAATATCAAGACGACATCTGTCTACAGGAACAGGCGAGTGGAGTGCTGCAGGATAAACTGCTTCGGACCAACACTGTCTTGTACGAGGTTAGGCTGGAGCTGGCCACTGAAAAAGCAGCCATCGTCTCGTCCGAGGGTCGGGTTTAAGTGGGTTTGAGTTTGAAGGTGTGGGTTTGGGGTTTCAGGTCTGTGTTACGGCTTCGCGTGCAGTAAATGACAAGCGGATGCATGATGCAAGAAAGCAGTATGTTGAACTGCAAGAAAATATTACAGACCGCCGCAGTGTTCGGAAGACCAATAAAGGCAGGAACAACAACCACTGTCGTTGGAGGAGCAAGACTGGTGGTACCCCTACGAATGTGAAAAAGTCCCCTGGCTCTCAGGCACTAGTTGCGAACTCGTACCATCCTCGACCCCAAACCCTAACATCTTCGGCCCCTAAACCCTAAACCCTAACATCTTCGGCCCCTAAACCCTAAACCCTAAACCCTAAACTCTAAACCCTCGACCCCAAACCCTCTAACATCTTCGGCTGCGCAATCCTGAAGTACCCGGCAGGTGTCAAGCTCGACGAGAAGCGGAGCACCTCCGACTGCGATGGCCTGTGCGCTGGCAGAAGTTTTGGGGGCTACCCAGAGACTCCAATAAATATCCCTTAATTAAGGAATATTCCTTAAATCGTATTAGGCATCCTATTATAATTTAAGGTATATTCCTAAAGCAAGGGATATTGGAGTCTCTGGGACTCCATGAATAATGAGGATGACGATGATTCTGTGGGTTTCTTGCGCAGGGTTCAGGGCTAGGAGTAGGCTGCTGCTGATGATGGTGATGATGCTGACGAGGATGCGGATGGCAAGTCGGCAAGTCGGTGGATTGAGGATTCACAGGCTTCTGGCTGAGATCAAAGGGGGAAATGAGGGACCTTAATGGGGACCCCTAGCCTATAATGGGCTATATGATGGGTATATAATGGCTACATAAATGGTATGTACCTAGGGGTCCTTCTTAAGGGTCCCTGCTTTTACCCTTGGCTGAGAGTCAAAAGGTCTGGATCTCCGGGAACTCGGTTGAAGGGTTGGAAGCTGGGTTTAAGATTCTTGGGGTAGGGATTCCTTCATATGAACCCTATTATGGGAACCCTAATCCTTACTAAACCCCGAGTCGCAGGGCTTTGGGCTGAGGGTCTGGGGTTCAGCGGTTGAGGGTGTTTCAAGGTTTATTTACATGAGGTTTAGCGGGTTTATGGAATTGGGCCTCAGGTTCAGCCGTTTAGGGTGTTTTGGGGTTTATGGTTTAGGGTCTGGGGTTTAGGGGTTTCAAAGATTTGGTGTCAAAGTTGAGCGTTCAGCGTGTCTTCGGCAATTCTCCTGCTCAGCTGTAGCTAAACTCTCCTCCCCAACTACCCAGAGACTCCAATATCCCTTAATGGCTGAACTGAAATGTAACAACTCGCGATTGGGCCTCAGGTCTGTTTTGGGTTTAGGGTTTAGGGTTTAGGGTGCCTTCCGCCTGTGACAAGGTTGCCACTGTTTGGAGGGGATGTTGGGTTGATGCGCTGGTGAAATGAGAAGGACGTCGTGTCTAGGATCCACTTGGAGGGTCGGGGGACTTAGTAAGTCGGTAGTAAGTAGACTTATAAGTACCCTAAAAGGGACCCTAATTGGGGTTATGGTACTTATAAGTCCCTAAAATAACTAGTTACTAAGTCCCCCGACCCTCCAAGTAGGATCCAGGAAACATCCAGATACCGTACGCAGCGTGAAGTTTGTGAGCCCCAGATCCCACCACACCCACTCATCTGTTCGTACCCAGAGACTCCAACATCCCTTAATTAAGGAATATACCTATAGTAGCATCCCTAATATGATTTAAGGAATATTCCTTAATGAAGGGATATTGGAGTCTCTGGGTAGCCAGGGCTCTAAATATCCAGGCCTAGACCCTGACCTCTAAGACTCAATCCCCAAGCGCCCCAAAACCCCGGAGCTAGGATGCCCAGTAGTACCCTTATTCCTTTTTTGTAGTCCTAGGTTCCTTATAAAGTTGCCCAATACGAAAAAGGGAGCCCCTTTTAATTCCTAGGTTACTGGGCATCCTACTTGGAAGGGCAGGGGACTTAGTAAGTAGGTTATAAGTAGAGTTATAAGTACCCTAAATGGATTTACCCCAATTATAACCCTACTTATCACCTACTTACTAAGTCCCCTGCCGTTCCAAGTAGAGAAACTGGATCCCGGCAGGTACAAGGGCGAGAGGTACTTCCGCTGTCAACCGGGCCATGGTATCTACCAGGTGCAACCCTAGCCTTTAGGGTTTAGGGTTTAGGGCTGAGACTTTACGGATCCCTAAACCCTACCTTAAGCCGTAATAACCTACCTTTTTAGGGCTCCTTATTATGATTTCCTTTTTTCAGTCTTTCAAAAGGTAGGTTGTTCCGGCTCAAGGTAAACCCTAAACCCCCCTAAACCCCTAGACCCTAAACCATAAAATTCAGGATCCCCATACCCAGAGACTCCCATGTCCCCTAACTAAGGAATAGTCCTTGGATCATATTAGGGATCCTATAAGTTAGGGTATATTCCTTAATTAAGGGATGTTGGAGTCTGTGGGTACCCTAAACCCTTGGGGCGCTGAGGCTTTAAAGATTCGGGCGTTCGGGCTTTCGAGGCCGTGGAGCGCAGGGAAATTCAGAGTTCCGGTGCTTAACCCCACGCCTAGACAGGGTTTAGGGTTTAACTTGAAGGTTTAGGGGTTTAGGGGTAAGTTTAGGGTCTATAGACTCTAGACTACCCCATCCTAAACACTGCACTTTTCGAGCCCTGAACCCTAAAGCCTAAACCCTACTTGGAGGGTCGGGGGACGTAGTAACTGGTTATTTTAGGGACTTATAAGTACCATAACCCCAATTAGGGTCCCTTTTAGGGTACTTATAAGTCTACTTACTACCTACTTACTAAGTCCCTGAACCCTAAACCCTAAACCCTATACTACCCTTATAGAGCCCTTTAAAGGAACCCTTAGAATCCCCTTACTAAGTCCCCCGACCCTCCAAGTAAGCCCGGAGTTCGGAGTTGCGAGGAGCTTTGGGCTCTGGGACCCCCCCAGGCGTCCGGAGCCCTAAACCCAGAGCCCAGTACTTTCGAAGTCAGAGGCCAGGTGGGGCTTAGGGTTTGCGGCTTAGGTCTTAGGGGTGTAGGGGTTTAGGGGTTTAGGAGTCAGGGGTTAGGGGTTTAGGGTTTAGGTAGGTGGGGTAATCCCCAAATAAGAGTCTCTTACATAAGGGCTCCTTCATCCTACCTACCTTTATCCCACCTTTTGCGGCCTCCAACTAACACCGCCGGCAGGCAGTGGAGGAAGTGGAACTGGCCAGTGCCCCAACGCTCGAGATGAACGGAGGGGTTTTAGCCTATGGGGGTTTAGTAGGGATTAGGGTTCCCATAATAGGGTTCATATTAAGGAATCCGTACCCCAGGAATCTTAAACCCCCCTTTTGGCCTCCCATCCATGAACGGTTTCAAACTTTTGGCCGGAAGCTTCGGGTCGAAGATGCCTTCCAGAGAGAGCGAGCGAGAGAGCAAGCGAGAGAGAGAGGGCTTAGGGTTAGAGGATATTCGGCTTCGGGATGCTTAGAGTTCACGGTTTCCAGCTTAGAGTTTAAGCTGGGTTTGGAGGGAGGGAAAGAGAGGGAGAGAGAGAGAGAGAGAGCGAGTGTGTCTAGAGTTTTTTCGGGGGTATTTCGTTCAGCTTCTGCGCCGGAGGTCGGTTTGCTTTCGTCCCTGCAATAAGTCATGAAGTCATAAAGACCTTATGTATACTGACCACGGGACTGGCCACCCCAAAGCCAAGCCATGTACCAACTCTGCTCCCCAACCCCAAGAAACCCCACTGAACCCTAAACCCTCAACACCAAAACCCTTAACCCTTGCTCCTAAACCCTCAAACCGTTACAGCATACACCCAAGATCAGACGACCCAGGCCCGTATCTGACTCCAAAACAGATTAACTACCCCAAACCCAATCCACCCCCGTACATCAACAATGATAGTGCGTTCGGTTCTATTGTGTGGCACTACACAACTTTCATGTATTGTTATGCACTCGATTCTGCTACACTGCATTGTATTATATTGCAATGTAAGATTTGTAATTACTACGGCTGTATTCTACTGTATGACGGTATATTGTATCATATCGTCTTCCACTGCCTGGTTTTTCTGTTCCATCCTATTCTATCATTTCCTACCCTGTTACATCCTATTCCATCTTATCCTCTCCTGGCCTATGCTGGTCTACTCTTCTTACTTGTTTTCTAGTCTGCTGTTTTCTAACATGTGCATGTGTACATACATATGTATATATATATATACATACATATTTATGCGCACACATAAACGCATGTTGTAATTATCAGGTTCGGGCGCCAGGATCTGAGCTGCTTCCGCCTAAACTCCTGCACCTCGTTCATTCCGACCCCTCTGAGTTCCAAACCCTTGATTCCCAAGCCCTTAAACCCCTATAACACCCTTAGTACCGGAACCCTTGGACACCCTACCAGTAACAGAGCTTAAAAACCCTAAGCCCTAAACCTGCACCCTAAACCCCTAAACCCTTAATCCGACAGCCTAAATCCTAAACCCTTAAACCCTAAACCCTTAAACCCTCAACCCTAAACCCTTAAACCCTACCTTAGGTTCCACCGGAGATGGCCGACGAGGATGTGCGCCAGCTGGCCATGCCCGGCTCTCATGGCTCTGGTTCAAGGTTTGGGGTTTAAGGTTTAGGGTTCCTTTAAAGGGATCTATAAGGGTTCCTTTAAGGGCTCCTAAAAGGGATCTATACGATTTTAGGGTTGAGGGGTTTAGGGTTTAAGGGTTTAGGGTTTAGGGTAAGGGTCTTATTAGTTAGAATAGGGGTTCCTTTTAGGGGGCCCCTTAAAGGGGTCCATAGGGGATCTATAGTAGGATTCTATAATATAGGGGCCTTATTCAGTTAAGATCTAATCTAGGGGCTTTTATCCTTACAATAGGGTTTTGGGGCCGGCTGTACTGTAATTTTAATGGACAGTCCTCAAGATAGTATATAGGTATTTTTTAAGGCCCTATATTTGGGTTTCGAGTTGGGGGCTTAGTGGCTTAGGGCTTAGAGTTTAGGGTTTAGGGTTTAGAGTTTTGGGGGTTTCGGGTTTAGGAGTATACTGTTTCATTTTGCGGGCCGTGAGAATTAGAAATGGAAGGCATAGGCTTTTTTTGGCATATCGTATTCGTTTTTTTTGGGCCTTGAGGGGTGAGGGTTCCGGACACCGTAACTTAGGGGTGCTTTGAAATATTGTTTAATTTTTGGTTATTATAATCCGTAAGACACAGCTAAAAATTTGATTTTTGCTAGGGTTCTAAGTTCAGTATAGGTAATATACCCCACAACCCCGTTAAAGGCCCGTTAAAATCATCGACACTACACCAGCTCGAGCTAGCAGCTCAAGAAAGCAAGCGCTTCAACAGACCTGGCGAAGACGACCCTAAACCCCTAAACCCGAAACTAAAACCTTGAACTCTGACCCTCAGCCTGCTTCTAAAACCCTAAGCCCTAACCCCAAACCCTACTACCCCAAACCCTAAACCCTGAACCCCTAAACCCTTAACCCCAAAACCCTAAGCCCTAACCCTAAACCCTTAACCCCAAACCCTAAACCCTTAACCCCAAACCCTACTACCCTTAACCCCAAACCCTACTACCCTTAACCCCAAACCCTACTACCCCAAACCCTAAACCCTTAACCCCAAACCCTAAGCCTTAACCCCAGACCCTAAGCCCTGACCCTAAGCCATCTTAAGCCCTAAACCCCAAACCAGGTCCCCGGCTCCGGATGCCGAGACCTTCAACTTAGAGATGGAGTTGGAGCAGTGGGCGCCTTAAACTACTTTAAGGGGCTCCTTTAAGGGGCTCCTTTAAGGGATCTATAGGGGGTTTAGGGTTTACGGATATAAATCCTGCATTACCCATAGTAAGGAATATGCCATAGTTCCCATAGTTTAGGGTCCTGAAGGTCATGCAAGATTTATATTATCAACCGCAGCGCCCATCGTTGGAGCTCTTTCTGCAGGGTGTGGGGTTGGGGTTTAGGATTTAGGTTTCAGGGCCAGGGCTTGAGAGTCATCTGGCATCTGTTCATAACATGGTTACCGGCTTTTTCAGATTTCTGAAAACGGTGGGTTTTATGATATTCAAGACTTTTTACGTGCTCCTTAGTCACGGGTTCCTTTAAGGGTATTTTAAGTCTTCCTTTAAGGGTTCCTGTGGAGGGTTCCCTTGGCGGGTTCCTTCAAGGCTGCCGTTGAAGGTTTCGTTTTCAATTCTTCTGAGGGGCTTAGAGTTTGCCTGAACCCTGAAAAACCTACCTTTTTGGGGCTTCCTTATTATAAGTGATAAGTATAACTTCCTTATATAGGTCCTTAAAAAGGTAGGTTGTTCCGGGTTAAGGTGTGGCTTAGGATACGAATGTCTCAAGGGTTCGATACGGCTTACTATAAGGGATCTTTGGTTTCTAGAAGGAGGTCGGCTGCGGCCTCACATCAGGGCTTGGGGTTTGGCGATTTCTTGGGTTCAAGGGTTAGTTAGGGTATAGCCATTAGGCCCGAAAACGGCCATTCCCCGGGAAGCTTAAATAACTACCGATACTGCTCCGTAGGGCTCCTTTATTAAAAGGAATATACCCTAAATCATATTAGGGATCCTATTAGTAATGTTATACTATAATTAATAGACCCCAAAACCTATTCTGATTATTATGGCCCCTAGATTGCTTCCCAGGCTCATCGGCCTCCGCGACGTCAAGGCTCGCATGTGTGTTGGCGTTAACCTTGGGGTCTCACCGTTCGTGGTTCCTTAGTACTTTGCCATAGTTGGGAAACATTTTACATTTTTATGGTTACTTAAACCCAAGAAGGAAAATGGACATTGTTAATCCTATCCCAACCATGAACTACTAGTAGCTGAGTAGGTAACCTTTAGCCTTTTGGGGTTTATATAACCCTACCAGAATTCAAACCCAGAGGGTTCCTATTACAGGACTTTAGGGCCTTTTTCAGTATCAAAAACCATAAAATAAGGATTACTTGGACCCTTTGGGAAAAGGTTAGCCTTTATTGGGCTGGGGTACTCAGCGCCGAAGGTTCTCGATGGTTTTCATTGGAGTTTAGAGTTCGGGGCTCAGGGCCTCCTGTCTGGGGTTTCTTTAAAGGGTCTACGTTTGTTGTAGTATCCCTAATCGGAGGGGGGTCCAAGGTGATCCTTAATTCTCCCTAGTACTCCCTAAGGTTCCCTTACAGTCCCCCAAGGATTCCTTATACCCTCCCCCCTTGAACCACCCTCCCTTAAGGATCCTATAAGTTTGGTTCCTTGGTTTTCTGAGAGTATCATATCAAAATGGGAGACTCAGCAGCTAGTAGCAGTAGTGCAGCCTCTTTTATCTGGGATTCCCTACACCCTAAGCCCCGCTCTGCAATCTTATTTGTAAACCCTAAACCCTAAGCCCCAGCCACACTAAACCCTAAACCCTAAACCCAAAACCCCAAGGCCTCAGCCTAAGTTCTTCCTCGGCCTGTGCGATCAGAGCTGGGCGTTCGGCTGCAAGGAGATGGCTCAACTGCAGCGGGTTTAGGGTTTAGGGTTTAGCGCAGTGTGGGCAACATTGGTTGGTGTCCCTGAGGGAGGGTGGCATCCATTGGAGGTGGTAATCCACCTCCATGGTGCCACCGTAGCTGCATGATACAGGTGCCCCACCGACACGAGTCTGGTTTCGAAACTCCGGAATGCCGAGGTCGGCAGAGAGTCCTGGTGCATGTGAGAATGGAGCAGAATCCAACGCGGGTCTTCTCCGGTGTCAAGCTCTCCTCGGAGATGCACGCAGTACTCAGAGGCGCAGGGACTTCACAAGCAGGGTTTTGGTTCTAGGGTGGGAGATATGGAATGGATGTAAGTACCCATATCTATGAAACAAGTTTATCTTAGTTGTAACCCTAAACCCTCTACCGGTATCCCTCTTATTTGAAGCAGTTGGAAAAGAGGCGCTTCAAAGAAAAACGGTATCCCTACATAGTCTGATCATTGGGTCCCTGATGCTCTAAGTCCCCGAGCCGAAAGCTTCAGTTGCGGTGCTTTGAACTTTAAACCACTAAGTCCCCACCCGCCACTTGGGGTCCGGGCCTTACCAGGACACCCCCCCCCCCAGTGAAAGTAGGGTTTTTTTAAAGGCTCAGGGTTTAGGGCTTTAGGGTTTAAGGGTTCCGGGACCCTCCAAGTACCCTCTAACGGAGCCCTCCTGGTTCTTAATAGTGGGTATGTAGGGTATAATGGAGGGTAGTTGGGGGATCTAGGTAGATTAGCCTGAGACCGTTTACATCGAATGCGAAGGGTTGTAAATCCGAAGCCCGAAACCCTAAACCTTAAACCCTAAACCCCTAAACCCTAAACCCTAAACCTCGGGCTTAAGGTCGTGGGATTTGGAGTTTGGAGTACAGGGTGCAAGAGCCTCGGCCGTGTGGGGACGTAGGGACGTAGGGTCTCAGATTGCATGCGTTTGATGATATTTACGGTCAGGGCTATTTTTTGGGTTTTCGGGTTTGGGCTTCTGCAGGGTTTGGGATTTTTTGAGGGCTCGAGAGTTTGGACGGGCGCCCCTAGACCCTAAACCCTAAACTCTTAGACCCTAAACCTAAAACCGTCGCCGCCTGGGCATGACAGGAGTCGATTCGCCATTCCAGGAATTACATCGAGGTCCAGCCGGGTGCCTCAAAAAGGGATCTATAACGGTTTCTTTAAGGGCTCCTTTAAGGGAGGTTTACGATTTTAGGGTTTAGGGGTTTAGGGGTTGAGGGTTTAGGATTTAGGGTTTGGGTTTTAGTTTTTAGGGTTCAGGTTTAGGATTTGGGGTTCAGGGTTCATATAATAGGGTTTCGGGCAGGGAGCCTCAAAGTTCAATCCCAGGACTTGTGCATGCTACCGGTAATGTCAGAACTCCTTGAGAAACCCCAGGGCTCCTGGAATCCCATGGGTCCTAGAGTTCCTTAAGCCGCAGTGTTCCGAAAACCACAGAGTTCCTTGAAACCGCAGCTCATTTCAAACGGGGAAAGGAGGGACCCTTAATGGGGACCCCTACCCTATAATGGGCTATATAATAGGTATATAATAGCTATCTTAAGGGTATATACCTAGGGGTCCTTCTTAAGGGTGCCTCCTTTTAGCCTTGGATCATTGAATCCGACCCACAGTCCCCTAGAATCCGACCCAGAGTCCCTCAAATGGGGTGGTTGTTAAAATTAGGGTCCCTTTTTGGGTCCTGAATAGAATACGGCACCCATTATTTGGGGTACCCAAAAAGGAACCCTAATTTTGACCCTGAACCCTCGTCTTCCTCGAGTACCTGACCGTCGCACTCCGCGTAACCGACGTCGGCTTCGTCAGCCTCGTCCTCCTCCTCGTCTTCTTCCCGGAGGTGAACTGGGTGACCTGGTGGACGCAGTGCCTGTGTCTGTACTTCGAGGTCGTCGTGACTACCATGAACGCCCGCGTGAACGCAGTCGGAGTCGTGATGATGCAAGTGGTGCTCCTCCCTCCGCCTCGTCTTCGGTGGTGTCACACTCCTCTCAGCCAACGGTGCCTCTGAGTGCGAGTTCGTTATGGCCGTCTCCTGTCAACCCCCTCCGTCCTGGCTCAGTTCCGTCGTCTCGTCGGCGAGGTCGTGCAGTTGGCAGCTGAAGGGAGTTTCAAGTCAAATGGGAATCAGTTCGTCAAGCAGTGAGTGAAGGATCATTTTCTGTCTTTCGGCCCATGTGAGTCCCGAAAGTAGTGTAAGCCAGAAACTGGCTGGACCTTCTGCGGAAAAAGGCCCCATTGCACTTTAGAAAAAAAAACCTGAACCCTAAACCATCCAAATCCCAAAGTTCCTGAAAATCCTCCTCCTCCTCCTCCTCCTCCTCCTCCTCCTCCGCACAAGCGATGTGAAGCTGCCTTAGCTGCACAGCCAACTTGATACTTTAGGGCTCATAAGGTAGGAGCCAGAAAGTTGGAATATGATTATCCTAACCCTTCTATGGTAAATTATAGGGTATCCTACCATGAAACCATATTCCAACTTTCTGGAGTTCCCTATAGGGTTTGTGGGGAAAAAGGGTTTATAGTATAGGGTTTCGGGTTCGGCTGTATAGAGGTGCGGAAGGTAGAAATTAGTCAGCTACAGGTCGGCTATCTCGGCCCGAAATGCGTCGCACAAGGCATTGACAAAGCCTCTAGAACCCAACTTGGAGGCCCTTTTGACTTAGTAAGTCTACTTAGTATCCCCTAGAAACCCTATTATAATCCCCATAACTTACCTTACTAACCCTACCTACTAAGTCAAAAGGGCCTCCAAGAAAGACATGTCGCCATAGAACTCCAAAGCTCCGAACCGCCCAAGCCGTCGAAACCCAAATGCTAAACCCTAAACTCCGAACCCCTAAGCCCTGTTGCTCAAAACCCCCCCAAAGCACCCGCAGCACTCCCAAAGAACCTGCAAGCCCTAAAACCACCCTGAACCCCGACCCTTAAACATCCACTATAAAATCCTGTGATGCCATCAAAAGGAGCCTCCTAAAGCCCGTAAAAGGAAGGCACCCTGTAGAGGAAAGTGCTGACAAGGAGCCCTACAGAGCCTTACCTACACAATAAATAAACCTTATATACACCTGGACCCGAAACTACCTTTGTAGGGTTCCCTATTTTGATTCGCTTATATAAGCCCTTAAAACGGTAGGTCATTCCGGGTTAAGGTAAACCGTAGACACAAGCCCTTAAGAAGCTAGGTCATTCCGGGTTAAGGTAAACAGTAGCGCCGTAGACCTTGAAAGGAACTGCAGGGTACCCAGAGACTCCAATATCCCTTAATTAAGGAATATCCCTTAAATCATACTAGGGATCCTATTATAATTTAAGGTATATTCCTTAATTAAGGGATATTAGAATCCCCTAAACCCCTCAACCCTAAAGCTCCCTTTAAGGATCCCTTTAAAGGAACCCTAAACCGGTGTATTCCTTAATTAAGGGATATTGGAATCCTTTAAACCCTAAACTCCATAGATCCTGATAGGAGCCCTTAAGAGAACCCCTATAGATCCCTTTACAGTAGAAGCCTAAAAGTTGGAAGCCCCATAGCCTCTATCCTTAGGAGTAATATATAGGGAACCCCAGCACTATTTGGCCTTAATTCGGTTTCCAACTTTATGGGGTTCACTACAGATCCCTTTAAAGGAACCCTAGGGAGTCTCTGGGTACACCCTCCCAAGGCGGCGGCGCAGCGCAGTGACGGGCGACCAGAGCGCCCGGCCTCTGCACTTCGCCTTCATGCAGGGCACACCAGGTCAGGGCCTAGGGTCATGTAGGGGGAGGGTGTCAGGAGTGTTAAAGGTCGATTCCTTTTTTGGGGGGCCTTTTTTTTTGGGGGGGGGGGGAGCGATTTATAGTTTGAGGTTTGGAGTTTTGGATCGGGGTTTGGAGGGCTTGCGGTTCCCATGACAGCTCTTTGTGTCTTTGTTGGATGTTATGAATGGCTTCTTTGGGGTTTACAGCTTGGAAACCCTATAAGCCCTAGACCCTAAATCCTAAACCGTGGCATTTAGGAGGTATCACGAACCAGGCCGACCGGAGGTTTTCGTTTGGATAATGCTTGTTAAAGGGTTTGGGAGAGTTTATGGGGTTTCGGAGCACGGTCATGGACGAGTGTGCGCTCTGGCACAGTCGGTTTTCGGGCTCAGGAGTATTGGATGAAGGGTTTCGGGGTTCGGGGGTTTGAGGTTCCCAAGGGTCTAAGGCATAGAGGGGATCTTTCTAGCGCTGAGGTGCCCCAAACCGAAAGATCGACTATCATTCCACTCGCAGGCTCGGGTGCCGGCAAGGTCGCCCAAGTCCTCGGCGGTATGCTTCTCAAGCCCGTCGCTCAGACGCGAGACTTCAATCACGCACATTCCGAAGATTGTGTTTAGGGTTTAGGGTTTAGGGCTTATAGGGTTTAGGGTTTAATGGGGCTTCTTGCAAGGTATTGCGAGGGGTTTAAACAGGGTTGTGCACGGGGTTTGCAGGGAGAAGGTCCCTCCGAACCCAAAGAGAGATTCCACTTGTCCTTCGAGGTTTGGTGTGCTTTCCAGCGGCCACGTGGTAGAAGCCACCCGGAAGGACAACCCGGAAGGTGGTCCTTTTATGATACATCGGCTTCTTTGAAGCTTCTGTATGACCGGCATAAGAGGTTCAGAGTTTGTGAGGATTTGTGAGGTGTTTGTAGGGTTACATGGGTCTGACAAGCGAGCTGACGGAGTGAGTTCTCTTAGGCGTGACTTTGGACTCTGGGTCTTGCAGTTACGCCCTTTGGCCTTTGGCTTTCGGGACCAGGACTGGGGTTCATAGCCCAAGTGAGTAAGCAATCTTTACTCAAGCCTAGTCGGCCAGGTCGAGTAAGCATAGCCCTACCAAAGAAGAATTTCTCCTCTCTACCTTTATCAAGGACGTTAGCTGTCCTGGTGCCAGGGAACTCAGACCCTAAACCCTAAACCCTAAACCCTAAACCCTAAACCCTAAATAGCTAGGTAAAAGGGTTGGGGGCTTGGGGGTCTAAGTCTAAGTGCCTCGGGCTGTTCGTTGCTTGCCGCTTCTTGTCCAATTTGCTTAGCCGCATGTCTACAGCTCTGGCCGAACCTCGACCAAAGCAAAAGGAGCCGTTTAAGGACATAGGCATAGGTGAACATAGGTGCACCGTAAATCCCAAGCCCTACATAAGAAGACGGAGAGGAGAGAGTGGTTGACATGAAGATCCACCTCGATATTGGCGTGCCATATCCGCATGGACCTTGACGGCACTAGCTCAGTAGCAATTTCAAGAAGTAACGTGGCCGTCTCAGAAGAGTCGTGATGCCAGCAACACCAGCAAAACCGCTGAGCAATACGGTGCAGCTCAGGCAGGTGGCCATTAAAGTTGGCATGCCGCCAATGGAAGGGCGACCTTCGCAAGGAGATTTAAGCCCTCCGAAAGCTCGACGGCGGCCCCAGCATCATCAAGATGCTGGGTTGCTGGACGTCACTGAAGAGGGCGACTTAGCCCGGACTCGGAGCTTGAAGATTATGGAGTTATGACTCAGTCAAACTAGCACAGAGGTTGCAACATGGTCCGTATCATTGAAGCTACTGAGAGCGAAGGGTTACAACCAACAACCTTTCCACGCCCATCCTGATACTTACATCCCGGCCATCCCAGTTCTGATGATCTTCTGCTTGGGGTTACATGCAAAGAGTTTTCTTCTCCTTCGACATGATGTCTGAATAAAAGCCGAGCTTCTCCATCTTATTCATGACAGAGACCGACAAACGTGTAAACGAAATGCCATCGAATTACCACCTCTGGCTATAACTAGTCAGCAGGTTCTGCCGGCTGCACAAAAAGGTGCGCGAACCAGAAACACTCCAGTCTTTAAATTGTTGTCGTCCCTCTCCGCTCTGTTCGCTGTGCTCCACTGTTGAATCATGCGATCTTCTCCAAGCAGGTACTGTCAGCAAATGTAACGAAACTTCAATTTTGCCGAGAAGCCATCATGTCAACATGCCTGTGGATGTGTGGAAAGCTCAGATGCCATGAGACTAGTATCAGACTATGTCAGGAAGTGGTCATATACTTCAACGCACACCCGAGCCCACCTGGGCTGAAAAGCCCTTCCCAAAGCTCCCAGTTCCCATCGATTCCGGGTTCGTGAGCACATTTTGATACTGAGCCATGCGCGTACGAAATATCTGAAGCGTGCGTCTACCCGGCAAGAGTTCTTCGAACGGTCCCCAACAGCAGTCCCCTGTACTTCAACTCCCTTCAAAGTCAATGTCGGCTTAAGGTGTGTATACGGTTTTGTTTGCCGCCAATGCCGCCCAAACGCACGACGATTGTGACAGCAGTCAGCAACTAAAGCAGTCGTAGCAATGGGAGCAAAAACTGTGTATGAGTGGACTGAGATGCAAGGGTCAAGCCACTGTCATATGTACAATGACAGCGACATCGGCATCAGGAGCCAACCAGTAGACCGTGCAGCAAGAATTTGACGAGAACACCAACTAGGATGCCCAGTAGTACCCTTATTCCCTTTTTGTAGTCCTAGGTTTCTTATAAAGTTACCCAATACCAAAAAGAGAGGCCCTTTTATTCTTAGGTTACTGGGTATCCTAGATATACACTCGGGGGAAAGATCCCCTCAACGGAACCCTGGAGGCGAAAACCTTAGACCCCCCCCCCCCGATCCTTAAATCGTAAATCCCAATTTGTTAAGCCCTACAGTACTTTAGAGCCCTTACGAGAACTGTGAAAGGAACTCTTGCAGAAACCTTCAAAGACCCCCAAACCAGGACCTCGTGGCAGGCTGCACCGGGGGTGGAGATGCCAGGAGCTCTGTCGGAGCGTTGGGATTGGGGTTTTGGGTTTCAGCTTTCGGACTTAGTCTTCACAGACTCATAGATTACATAGATTATAGGATATACCGGGCTTGTAAAGTTTATAGGGTGAAATTAATATTCGGGTGTATGGTGTCCAATCTCGGGTCTTTGCATGCCAAGCTGCCCGGAATGTACGAGATTCAAGAAGGAGTCTTGAAGGCAGAAATTCCTTTTTGTTTAAACCAAGTTGATTAGCGAGATTTCGTCCGGCCGAAAGCTGACAATCTTGCAATACAAGGCTTCGGTGCCCGATGCTGCAACTGGTGATGTGGCCATGATGATAGAGTGTCGGCCGTGCTGGTGATGAGGACAAGAAGGGTCGAGAACAGGAGGACGAAGCTAAAGGCTTCAATGGTGATGCCAATCGTGGCGACCACGACGACAATGCTGATGCTGATGGCGTGGCCTATCCTCAGCAGGTGATGACGACCATTGTCCGGGATGCGACGGCCGTGACGATTTTGATGTTTGGCGGGCCGTCGTGCTGCGTTGAGATGAGCAAAGTAGGGTTTCGGAACCAGCAAAGTTTCTGGAGTCTTCGGGTTTGGGGGTTAGAGGTTTGGGTTAGGGTTTAAGGTTTAGTGTAGAGTCTCAAGAGTCGTAGGTTTTGGGGACTTACGGAAGCGTGGTGCAAACAAATTGATTCACGTTTGGTGGGGTGGGGGGTTCTGTCTACCGGGCCAAAGCTCCGAAAAAAAGAAACCCAACCCTTTTGACACTGATGCCCTTACCCCGACAGATACCCAAGTCCGATTACGCTGAGGTGGAGACGAAGATCAAGAAGATTGTTCGGAGCTTGGTTAAGGGTTAAGGGCTCGAAGCACGTCTATCGATAGTGGGTTACCCTCGACCTTTAGCACGAAGTCGAGCATGCGAAATGTGGGCAACAGCTTTCCACGTGGCGCTGACAGGAGCCGGCACTTTTTTCAGTTTAATCTTTGTTTGAAGCTGAGCTATGCGGTACTGATTTACTGGAGGCGAATTGCAAGGAGGAGTCTCGAGGGGATTTCAATACGGGTTTAGGTCTCGGCTGATGGATGCGCAGGAAGCTGTTGGAGTTGACGGAGCGGGTTTGCGGGATTGCGCAGTGAGTTTGGGGTCTCAGGTTGCATCGACAGCCACCCCATCAAGGTCAGGGGTTACTATTGATTCATGATATACTGAGCCCCTGAACCCTAATACAATGCCTATCAGGGGCCTAGTACAGTATACCATACTTGTAGTAAGGAACTCCCAAAATAGTGGTGGTAATATATGATAATCATGCGCTGGTCGGGCCCTCTCAAGCCGTCTTCACCAAGCCATATTCAGCAAGCAACATGCAAAACAGCCATATGGAAGCACGCAGTCTTACAAACGCTCCATGAAACAGCAAACTTCATAGACGACCTATGTCAACAAGAAACGCGAAAGCCCTGCAAAATCTCGACAACCGACATATGCATGGTGCTCTAGACCCCAAAACCCTAAAAATCCTACACACCCAACCCCTTTATAAACAAAAGAAGGACCCTTATAGATCCCTCTAAGGGGCCCAAGTTATGGATCCCCTTCGAAGGAGCCCTCTTTATCAACCAAAAGAAGAAGATGAGGCCAAGGCCGCCGAAGGCGGTGTGCTGCTGGTGGTGGGTGCCGATGCGCTGAAGCCCGGGAACTTGGTGTCGTTTTGTGCCTTTAGGGTTTTGGGTTTTGGGTTGAGGGGGGAGTAGGGTCTGGGGTTCGGTGTTGGGGGTTTGGGAGCTTGTTTTGCGTTTTTTTGGTGTTTGAGGGGGAGGGGGGGTGGTTAGGGTTTAGGGTGCATTTTTTAGGGCTTTATGGGAGGTTGGTGTCTTCGAGTCTTTTGGGGTTTGGATTGTTTATGAGTTTGGGGGTCAGGGTCTTTTTGGTACAGGGTTTGGGGTTCCAGGTTGTTTTGTTGTTTTTCTGGTGGATTAACCCTAAAACTATAAGGCTAAACCCTAAACCCCAACCACTTACTTATAGCTCTGACTCTGAGGGTGGTCTTCAGGGTTTCGGAGCCGGATCTTGAGCCGTACTTTGTAGCTATCGCCTGAATGGTAGTTTTTCTTGGTTAGCCTAGGGGTTTGGGCCATGTTGCTTGTGTCGAAGCCTGTAGGTAACCAGCAAACCTACTATTTGCTTAAGAACCCCCAAAAAATAAAAACAAAAAAAAAAATATATATATATATATATATATATATATATATTCCTAATGGGGGTAATATAGGGATTATTGTTTTTATTTTTTGGGTGTTTCTTAAGCAAATAGTAGAAACAGGAGCTACAGAGAGAGCTGCTGTAAGAGTTTCGGGATCCGGACGGTGCGTTTAGAGAGGATGGATTGACGGTTCGGTTCAGCGTGTTAGGGCTTTTTTCCACGGTTTCGGTCGCCTGGTTCAGGGTGCAGGTGGTTAGTGTTGCGAGCCCCAGCCCCAGAACCCGGACCCTAACCCCGAAATTAGGTTTAGGTTTAAGGCTCTGAGGTTGAGAATTTGAGGTTTAGGGTTCCTGGGCTCTTAGCTTTTGTGGATTACCTAGACCCCCCAAGTACCCTCTAATATACCCCAAATACCCGCTATTAAGGACCATAAGGGCTCTATTAAAGTTATTAAAGGGTACTTGGGGGGTGCTGGTAGGCTTTGGGGTTCCAGGATTTGGGTTTAGGGCTGCACGGTTAGGGATGAAGGGTCCCACCCGCTCTTGCTTCCTCCCCAGGCTCAAGACAAACCCAACAGCCCTAAGCTCTAAACCCTTAGCCCCTAAACCCTAAACCCCAATAGCTTTGAGAGAAGAGGCGTTTCGAAGTCTGAGCCTTTTGGGGTGCTTGGAGTGCATAAGTTCTGGGTAAACCATAAACAAATCCCTTTGAAAGATCCCTTAAAGGAGCCCTTACGGCCCTAATCTCCGCATCCCCGAAACCCTAATCCTTACAGGAACCCCGAAGGCCCCAAATCCCTGCATCCAAAACCCGTTTAATAAAGGAACCCCTAAGGCCACCCGAAACCCTAAACCCCTACATCACTGTGCCCTGACTTCAGGGACACCGAGAAGTCATCGGTACCTCGATTGCAATTCTACTCATCGAATATAGACGTCTGAACAGTTTGTGATAATCTAGACTTTTTAATTGGTGTTTTGGGTTTCGGGTGTAGGATCAATTTTGAAGTACTAATTTCTTTGAAGAAATGAAAAAATACGAAATACAATCAAGCCTTGCTCCAGCCATTCAGGCCCCTATACTCGCCCTTGCATGTACCGTGTTCGGTCCGCGGCAAGCAATGCTGATGGAGTTCTAAACCCAAAACCCTAAACCCAAAAAGCCCCTAAACCCCTAAGCCTCTAAACCTCTAAACCCTAAACCCCTAAGCCCCTAAACCCCTAAACCCCTAAACCTCTAAACCCTAAACCCTTAAACCTCTAAACCCTAAACCCCAAAACCCCAAGCTTTGGGGGAGTCTGGGGAGTTCCAGAATTTTCAGCCTGTGCCTTGCTACCCAGAAAAAAAGGCCCCCAAACTCTCAGTCTCCAGCGCCTAAAGCCCGAAATCCCAAGTTCCTACTAAACGGGCCCCTTTAAAGGGATCTATAGGGATTCTACAAGGGTATAGGGTTAAGGGCTAGGGTTTAGGGTATACTTGGAGGGTCGGGGGACTTAGTAACTCGTTATTTTAGGGACTTATAAGTACCATAACCCCAATTAGGGTCCCTGTTAGGGTACTTATAAGTCTACTTAACCGACTTACTAAGTCCCCCGACCCTCCAAGTAATCCCCTACACCCCGAAAGCCCCCGAATCCAAGAGGCCTAATTTCAATACCCCAAGCTCCTGCATGGGTCTTGGAGCAAGCATGTTGGGAGATTCCGCCGAGCCAAGTCAGAGTTTAGCACGCTTCTAAGAGCTTCCAAAGGCCCTTGCCTGCCTTGCCAGCTCCTTACATCAACTGTTCACGATAACAAAACTGAAGGATCCTCAGTAGTGCTTCTCTTGCGCATTGTGCAGTCGTATGTACGCCGTACGTCACCGAACATCCCATGTAGTTCGAAGATTTCAGCAGTTCTGCCGAATTATATCCCCGTCTAGTTTAGTCCGCATGTCTTCTCGTGGCAGCGATTCAGCACGACAACGCGCTTCAGCCCTCATCGCCAAACCTTGTACAACAAAGCGCGAGCAACGCTGCGCATTTGCTCCTCCACCCTCAACCCTCCCCCCCCCCCCCCCCCCCCCCCCCCCCCCCCCCCCCCCCCTCCGCCCCCCCCCCCACAGCGCCTGCGGGAAGGACCGTATCGGCGAAGAGGCACTCCAGGCGCTCACCAAACTCCTGGAGGCTGGCCGTTCCTGAAGGACCAAATGACCCGTAGAAGTAGGGTTTAGGGTTTAGGGTTTAGGGTTTAGGGTCCTATACCAATAGACTATGAATCCCTATATGACATCTTGCCCGCTCTTCGGAGGGGCCTTCGTCAAAGAATCCTATCCTATCCTATATGGTATATGAACCTTAGACCCTTTTGGGGTTCATTTCGTCTTTGAGGTTTAAAGGGTTTCGAGTGTAGGGTCGGGTCTAGGGCCGTTTAGGGTTCAGGCTTTAGGGTTTAGGCTTTAGGGTTTAGGCTTTAGGGTTTAGGCTTCAGGCTTTAGGGTTGATTAGGGTTCAGGCTTTAGGGTTCAGGCTTTAGGCTTTAGGGTTTAGGGTTCAGGGTTCGGGTTTAGGGTTTCGAGTTTAGGGTTCAAGGTTTAGGGTTTAGGGACGGACATCCAACACCACTGCCGTTCTGTGGAAAGACACGAAATGAAGATTGATGAGAGGACGCTTATCGGTGTCAAGATTTATCAGGACGGCCAATGTTCATGCTCAGAAGATGACAGGTCAACTAATGGTACAGCACGAAACGACCATTTGCTTCAAAATGTGAGCCCTAGGGATCAAAATAGTCCAAAAGCCGTATGTAGTATGGTCTTTGGGCCCAAAAGCTTTAATATATGAGTCTATAGATCCCTAGGGGAGGAGCATCACCGGTGCATCCTAAATAAAGGAGACCGCGCTTACTCGGGGCAAGCGTGTGTTTCAGTACAGGGAGGAGCACAAGAAGCAGCAGATGTCCAAAACGGTTCATACGCAGAGGCAGAGATTACAAGAGCATTCCGCCCTCATTGCAAGAAAGAACCCCGAACCCTAAACCGATTTCCCTCAATTAAGGGTAACCCCTTTATAACAAGGGTACCCTTTAAAGGGCTCTATAAGGGCTACCATAAGGGGGTACTATGGGGGTGTAGTAAAGGGGCCGCCTTAATATAGGAACCGCACCAGAAACCTGAGCTCTCCGAGATGCGCTCTTCAGCGGCCAGATTAGTTTTCGGCCATAGCGCCTGCTGTAGTATGAGTGTGAACACAGCTGATTTGGCTTTTTTTGACACCACGAGACAGGCTTGAGTTTTCATGGGTTTTATGGTGCGGAAGTACGGGCTGAGAAGATTGACGTTTCGGGTGTACGGCTTTGCTCGTCCACCGAAAGCCTTTCTTAGCCCCTTCAAAGAGCCGCTCATAAAACCCTAAACCAAGCTTCCGGTAGCGCAAAGGAGCCCTGCACAAATCTAGAACTCTCTACAAATCCTATAAGGACAATGTTGACTATTGCAAAGTCATCTAAGACCCTGTCATCATCCTTGCAAGCTCAAACGAAAGTCCAGGGGTCCAAATACTAATTTCCCCCAAAGCTATCTTAAAACCCACACATCCAATTCCAGCCCCTCCACCCTAAAGCGCCCAAACCCTAAGATACCCTAAGCCCTAAGCTCGAAACCCTAACCCAACCCCAAACCCCCAAACCCCAAACCTCAAACCATGACGCTCAACTCGGTACCCTTAGGTTAGGGACCCAAAAAGCACATAAGCATAAGCATTTTATCGAGATGTCCCTACCTTATTGGGCTTCGTTTTAAGGGGGTCTACATCGGATATCCCTATCCTAATTTTTGCTTCTGTGCTTCTTGGGGCCCTGTTAGGGAAACCCTAAACCCTAAACTCTAAACCCTAAACCCTAAACTCTAAACCCTAAACCCTAAACTACCCTTAGGGAAAAGTCCGCTCTTTCGAAGGGTGCCTCGGCGACGGTGGAGTGGCCGCAGAGGCGCACGAACCGCAGTTTGAACTTTCGGGTGCCCAGAGACTTCAATATCCCTTAATTAAGGAATATACCGGTTTAGGGTTCCTTGAAAGGGATCCTTAAAGGGAGCTATAGGGTTGAGGGTTTAGGGGATTCTAATATCCCTTAGTTAAGGAATATTCCTTAAATCATGTTAGGGATCCTATTATAGTTTAAGGTGTATTCCTTAATTAAGGGATATTGGAGTCTCTGGGTGGTTTTAGGGTTCCTCTAAGGGTTCCTACGGGGTCCATAAGGGATCTTTGGGGTTGAGGGTTTAGGGGTTCTGGGGTTCAGGGTTTAGGTTGGGTACGGCCCCCACTCAGTAATAGTTGGATAATACTCATAATATAGAAATACAGGGGCCTTAATAGTAGCCCTATTATAGACTCTTACTGTATGGGAGCAGTACCAAAGGTTCTCTAAGGGTTCCTAAAAGGGCTTCCTGCACGGGATGTATAAGTGAAGGGTACTTTTTGGGGGTTTTCGGGTTCAGGGTACGTTCAACCCTGAGTTCCGTTTTCCGCTCCCTTGCGTGGTATAATGGGGTCCCAACCCAGAGACTCCAATATCCCTTGATTAAGGAATATTCCTCAAATCATACTAGGGATCCTATTATAGTTCAAGGTATACCTGAACCTCAAGTAACCTATCGTTTTAAGGACTTATATAAAGAAGTCATATTAGGGAACCCCAAAAAGGTGGGTTCCTTAGGGTCCAGGTATTCCTTAATTAAGGGATATTGGAGTCTCTGAGAACTTCAAAAAGCCGAGAATAGGAACAGAAGGAGACTTCCAAGCTGGAGACTTCAGGGTACACAGTTTAGGGTTCAGGGTTTAGGGTTTTTTAGGGTTTAGGGTTTAGGGGTTTTTAGGGTTTAAGGTTTAGGGTTTAGGGTTCAGGGTTTAGGGTTCAAGTTTCTAGGTTGAAGTTTAGTTTAGAGGTTTTGCAGTTTGAAGGTTTGGGCTTGAAGGCTTCGTGGGTATCTCGGATTGTAATTCGGGGTTTTAGGGTTTGGGATGTTAGGGTTTCACAAACTTCTATGGATAGGGTTTTCCAACCTAAACCCTAAACCTTGAAGCCTAAACCCTCGGGGGTGTGCAGTTTCCTAGCTTCCTCCGGAAAAGGCGACTCGTTGATCGTTTGGATACTTTAGGTTGACGTGTTTTGGGTTGAGGAGATGTTTGTTAAGGGTTTATATGGTTTGGGGTGTGCGGTTTAGGTTAGGGTATCACAGTAACTAGGTGGCCCATGCCTTGAGTTTAGTGGGCGGCCCATGTCTTGAGTTTAGGGTTTGAGGTTTAGGTTTAGGCTCCTTTGTCGTTATTGCAAGTAAACCCAAGAAACAAGCCGTCTTCTGCATCACCCGAAGCCCCGAAGCCTTTAAACCCTAATCAACCCTGCTGATGTGCATCTTCGGCAATCTCACTAAGGACTTTCAGAACAGTCGAAAGCCTAATCGGGGGTGCTTGAACACACAGGAATTCTGTATGTCCCAATTTCTTGATGCGTCTTACCGCACAGATCCGCATACATGCCACCAACACACGAGTCTCAGTATGACAGGAACCCAACATCCTTCAAATAAGACAAAAACTATACCAGAACTCATGACAAACGTTTAGAGAGTCTAAGGACAACTCCCCGTTCGACAAAAGGCAATAGGAACTATATAGTCTCCTGAGGAGTTGCTTGTTGTTTTTGTTCATATAAACCCCAAGAAAATATTAAGCACATTATCTCTACTGCGGTTCTAAGGGGGGGTATATGGAAGTTTCGGAGGTCTCAAAAGGTGGGATGAAGGTAGGTGGGATATTCCCAAGTAAGTGTCCTTGTATAAGGGATCCTTAATCCTACCTACCTTCATCCCACCTTTTGAGGCCTCCGAAAGTAGGACCCCTAGGTATATACTCTTCATATAGCCATTATATACCCATTATATAGCCCATTATAGGGTAGGGGTCCCCATTAAGGGTCCCTCCCTTTCCCCTTTAGCTGGGCCTTCGAAGCCCAACTCAATCCGGGCCTTCGGAAGTGTGCTGGGAAACCTGGGACCCCAGGCTCGATCCAGTTGTCCAAAGGCTCAGAAGCCTTGAATCTCGTATGGTCATGATCCAACTTAAAAACCCTAAACCCTAAACCGTTTAAAACCTTCCTGAAGGTCCTATCTTTGAGTCCCATCTTGCAGCCCATAATCTAGACTCAAGTTCGGGACCCTGAGCCAAGAAACGTTTTCCACGTCCTCAGATTCAGACTCCGAAACGCCCAGATCCACTATAAGAGCAAGGCCTTTCAAGCTCTGTTTCGCTAAGACAGTACCCTAAACTTAGCCGTCAACCCCAAACCCTAATCCCTAAACTCTACCCTATCTTCGAAGAACCCCCACCTGTGATTCTTGATTCTTAATACTTGAGTGGCCGGAACCCCAAACCCTTTGCTTTGAGCTTTCGGGCCTTTCCAGGCTGTGCATCGTCGTTGCCGGCCGGAGGAATCAGCTCACCCAGCTGCTGGACCCCTCGGTTTAATTATTTACCTTTGGTTAGTAGGGAATGGAAGAATGGTAGTAATAGTAGTTATAAGTGTACACCATTCCTCCAATCCCTACCAACCAAAGGTAAGTATAGGGGCCTTCATATTTACCAATACTATTTTGAGGGCTCCTTAATATGTTGATAGTATACTGGGGCCCCAAGCCCTATTCTAATTATTCAGACCCCTACATTAGGGGCATTAACGTTTCGGCGTTCAGGGTTTTTGGAGGCTTTAAAGGGATGTCGTAAGGGCTTTATACGGCTTTAAAGGGGATTGCAAAAGGCTCTAATTGCACTTCTGTAGGCTGTTAACTGGAATGATCAGGGTTTTGTACTGTTTTTCAGAGCGTTTCTTATTGCTCCTTTCTATTGGTAGGAGGGAAACCGACCGTGTTGAAGGCAGCGCGAAAGTGTGGCTCTGCAGGCCAGACTGTGGCGCGCGCAGTTACCGGAACTCAGCAACCTCTTAGGGGTACTTAGAAATATTTTTAAATTTTTGGTTATTATAATCCCTAAGAAACAGCTAAAATCATAATTTTGCTAGGTTCTGAGTTCAGTATAGCTCCCTGCAACATATAAGGCAAGAGCCCCATCGCAATGCTACCACGCTGCTTGGGGAAAAAGATTTTAAGAAGACGATCCCTTCGTAGTGTAAGGCATGTTCTTTGACTACGATATCCCTAAAGTCCTAAACCCCAAAACCCCCAAAACCCGAGCGACCTAAAACCTTCAACTGCCAAGACCCTAACCTGCTCATTCCGCTCTCTGGGTATATAACATCCGAGAAGCTTTAAACGAGTGTTGTTATCATGGTTCTAATGGGATATAGTAACAAAATCCTACTGAACCCTAAACGTTACTAAAAAGCCCTAAACCCTACTACACCCTAAGCCTATGCCCATTGGGCTCGGGGTATAGTAAAAATATCCTACTGAACCCTAAACCTTACTAAAAAGCCCTAATCCCCACTACACCCTAACCCTCGGGATCAAAATAGCCCGAAAGCCTTATATAGTATGGTCTTTGGGCCCAAAAGCCTGAGTGTATGGTCAGGCGTCTGGCGTTCCCAGCCCCCCCCCCCCCAATGGTATGGTCTGATAGGGGTGGGGGGGGCTGGCGTGTGCGGAAAGGGGTTGGGGGTCGTTGGAGCTGCCACTGGATGGTGGGGTGGTGCTGGCGGCCAGGGCTCACGCGCAAGCCCTTCGCAAGCCATCCGTAAACCCAATAACGCAGCGCGTGCCCCTGTTCTGAGCTTCCTTAACATGTACTTAAAACGCGACACCCAACCCTAGACCCCACCTGACTACAGGCTCTAAGCCTAAAGGCAGAGCATACACCGCAAATCCTCCCTAAGCCCTTGTCGACTCGAAGCCTTATACCTTGCAACCGTAAACCCAAAACTCAAAAGCTTAAGCTAAACCCTAAACCCGCAAAACACCACAACCACCCCACAGGGGGAAGAGGAACCCCACACCCCACACCACAAGGGAGGGGGGGGGCCCCACCCTATATCCGGACCATTGACCCTTGGGGGGAGGGGGGGGGGCTGCGGAGCGCGTGACCATATATCAGTCCTTCGGTTGATGATATAAATCCTGCATTACCTTAAGGACCCTGAACTATGGGAACTATGGCATATTCCTTCTTATGGGTAATGCAGGATTTATATCATCAACAGCTAGATCCCTATGGTTGGGCTCTCCGGGTCGAGGAGACGCCTGGAGTCGGTCCGTGCATCTTCGCCAAGTTTGAGTTCTCGGACGCTGAGCTGGAGTGAAGATTGCTTCAGGGCTTAGGGGTCTAGAGTCAAGAGTTTAGGGGTTTGGGGTTTAGGGTTTAGGTTTAGGGTTTAGTGTTTATGATTTTAAGGCTTCTAGGGCTGAAGGTTTAGGGTTTAGGGCTTAGGGTGTTTCTCAGGGTTTGGACTTTCTTTCCCGCTTTGAAGTTTCAGATGGTTTGTCGAACGTTTGGGTTCGCTTAAGTTTTGTTTGTTACGGCTGCGCTGGTTTGGCTTTTGGTTTAATCAGGCCTTTTAGGGGTAAGTCTGGAGATTTCCTTGGTGTTCCCTTTTACACTTTGGTATGATCAGCCCAAAACCCCGTTTCGGCACCGAGCCCCTGACTCTGTAGGGGATCTATTGAGGCCTTCCCCTATAGTATGGTCTCAGGGCCCCAAATAAGCCTTGATATATGAGTCCTTAGATCTCTAGGGTTCAGTGACACCAAGGCCCCTATGTCAGTTTGTTGGTTTGGGGCTTCGAGCCCAGCCTTTTGCGGCTTCAAGGGCTTGCTTGCTGTACATCTCCGAGCTACGTCGGGACTCAAGTGGTCGTAGTAGATGCGGTAGGTATTTCCCTCGATGTCTGCAGGGCACAGGTACCACTGTTGTGGGTACCGTGGCTCCGAACAGAAGGTTTAGGGGTTTAGGGTCCAGGGGTTCCGTGTTTAGGGTCTACACCCAGTACAGGAACGTCAAGACTGTGTCACGATGTTTCACAGTGCCATTGAACCCTAAACCCTAAGTCCTAAACCCTAAATCCTAAACCCTAAATTCTAAAACCTACATCCTAAACCCTAAATCCTAAACCCTAAACCCTAAACCCTAAGTCCTAAACCCTAAAGCCTAAACCCTAAACCCTAAACCCTAAACCCTAAATCCTAAGTCCTAAACCCTAAGTCCTAAACCCTAAATCCTAAACTCAAAGCTTAAGCCTGAATGCTCAGCTTAAGCCTTATTACGTACAGGAGCGTACTACACCTTGTTCGGGAAGAAAACGAAAGACATTCTAGTCTTCACGAGGTAAATGGTAATTATAGACATAATTACTACCATTTACTAGTAAGCTCAGTAACTGATTGCAAGTATTCCGTAATACATAGAGTTAGTTTAATCCCTAAACCGGTGTTTCTAACCATCGGATCCCTCGAGTGCTCGTGTGTGCCCAAGCTGGTCGGGGCCACATTCTGCAGCAAAACAGGGCCGTTCTTTTCGTGTGCCTGCTCTCCACGATCCGGTGTCCAGGTGTGCCCAAGGCAGTCAAGCCCACATTCTGCAGCAAAACAGGGCCGTTCTTTTCATGTGGCTGCTCTTAGCCACCTACCTCATCCCTAAACCGGTTTTCTAAATTTAAGTCGCGCTTGTCCTTTTCGGTAAAGGACAACCAGCTCTAAAATCAAGATTTTCTTCATTTAGTCGCGCTTGTCCTTTTCGGAAAAGGACAACCAGCTCTAAATTTTAGATTTTCCACATTCTGCCTCCAGAATTCTGGAAAATTGCTGGTGATTTTCAAGTGACAAATTCTGTTCATAAAATGTGCCTTTTAGACTACGCCGGCTGCGAATCTCGAGGTGCCCCCCTTTCTTTTCGTGTGGCTGCTCTTAGCCGCCTTCCCCATCCCTAAACTCCGTCCCTCGGAGCTCGGATCAAAAAATGGACCCTCGAGTGCTCGTGTGTGCCCAAGCAGGTCGGGACCACATTCTGCAGCAAAACAGGGCCGTTCTTTTCGTGTGCCGGCTTTAAAATCTAGATTTTCTACATTTAGTCGCGCTTGTCCTTTTCGGAAAAGGACAACCAGCTCTAAAATCTAGATTTTCTACATTTAGTCGCGCTTGTCCTTTTCGGAAAAGGACAACCGGCTTTAAAATCTAGATTTTCTACATTTAGTCGCGCTTGTCCTCTTCGGAAAAGGAGAACCAGCTCTAAATCCTAGATTTTCTACATTTAGTCGTGCTTGTCCTTTTCGGAAAAGGACAGCCAGCTCTTAAATTCAGATTTTCTACATTTAGTCGCGCTTGTCCTTTTCGGAAAAGGACAACCAGCTCTAAATTTAAGATTTTCCACATTCTGCTTCCAGAATTCTGGAAAATTGCTGGTGATTTTCAAGTGATAAATTCTATTCATAAAATGTGCCTTTTAGACTACGCCGGCTGCGAATCTCGAGGTGCCCCCCTTTCTTGTCGTGTGCCTGCTCTTAGCCGCCTTCCCCATCCCTAAACTCCGTCCCTCGGAGCTCGGATCAAAAAATGGACCCTCGAGTGCTCGTGTGTGCCCAAGCAGGTCGGGGCCACATTCTGCAGCAAAACAGGGCCGTTCTTTTCGTGTGGCTGCTCTTAGCCGCCTTCCCAATCCCTAAACTCCGTCCCTCGGAGCTCGGATCAAAAAATGGACCCTCGAGTGCTCGTGTGTGCCCAAGCAGGTCGGGGCCACATTCTGCAGCAAAACAGGGCCATTCTTTTCGTGTGGCTGCTCTTAGCCGCCTTCCCCATCCCTAAACTCCGTCCCTCGGAGCTCGGATCAAAAAATGGACCCTCGAGTGCTCGTGTGTGCCCAAGCAGGTCGGGGCCACATTCTGCAGCAAAACAGGGCCGTTCTTTTCGTGTGGCTGCTCTTAGCCGCCTTCCCCATCCCTAAACTCCGTCCCTCGGAGCTCGGATCAAAAAATGGACCCTCGAGTGCTCGTGTGTGCCCAAGCAGGTCGGGGCCACATTCTGCAGCAAAACAGGGCCATTCTTTTCGTGTGGCTGCTCTTAGCCGCTTCCCCATCCCTAAACTCCGTCCCTCGGAGCTCGGATCAAAAAATGGACCCTCGAGTGCTCGTGTGTGCCCAATCAGGTCGGGGCCACATTCTGCAGCAAAACAGGGCCGTTCTTTTCGTGCGCCTGCTCTCAACCATCCGGTGCCTATGGGTGCCCAAAGCAGCCGAAGCCACATTCTGCAGCAAAACATGAATTGCATGTGATTTGAAACCGTTTTCGCTCGTTCATAGCGATTCAGGACTGTCAGCGTACCTGTAGCTGCATGGGTATTTCCTTCGTGTTAGACGCTTAGGACTTAAGCTAAGGACAAATGCTCCGGGTGGGTTGTGGAGGGATTTATAGCGAGGTCCATGGACGTGACGAACTCGCTTATGCAAAAAAACTCTAGCGTCCGTCCTACATTCTTTTTACCGCAACAGTTGATTCGACACACCCTAAACCCTAAACCCTAAACCCTAAGTCCTAAACCCTAAACCCTAAACCCTAAACCCTAAACCCTAAACCCTAAACCCTAAACCCTAAACCCTAAACCCTAAACCCTAAACCCTAAACCCTAAACCCTAAACCGTTGCCGTGCTTTTTTGTTTTGCGAGAGTTGGTCCTGGGTTCCTGGGACCCCGCTGGGCCGCAGGCTCGGGGGCTGGGGCGGAGAGGTCTTGGGGCTTCCTTACAAACGCACTGTTTATAACTAAGAGACATTAGACATTGTATACCATATGTCGCAAGAATATGTGTTATAAAAAATATATATATATATATATATATATATATATATGTATATATATGTATACACACACACATTTATATATATATATATATATATATCACATATCCGTCTTGTCCTCGTGGGTGCCACGGCTGGTGACATGCATGGACTCCTTCCGGCACCGTGCTGCGGCACCTGAAAGTTGGGTTTAAGACATGCTGGAGGAGAAGCTGTGCTGCAGTTGACTGTGGTCCGGAAATGCATATTGGCAACCCGCCTGCAGGTGGCATGGTTCTTACGAGATGGCCTTGAACGACGGAGGAGTGCTCCCGCCAAGGTAGCTGGGCCAAAGAGCTCAGTCACAGGCGAACTGGGGCCAGATACAGCAAAGTTCACAACCTGGCAGCACCGAAGCGTGCATGCACCGAGGGTCTTTGTAGGGTAGGCCCGGGCTTAGGATTCAGGGTATTCATGTCATGAATAATGAATAACAAAGCAGCGTCCGGGCTGGATTCAGTGTTGCGGTGTCACGAGTAGTATGTAGCTCATCTCTCCGCAGGGTTATACTTGGATTCACCTGAGAATTGCTTATTGGGGTACTTAGATCAGGACCAGCTTTAGAACCTATTCAGCATTTAAGCCGTACTAACTCCCGAGAAACTTCTCTACCGGAATGCAGTTGCGGCTCAGGATCTCACGGCGGCGGAGGTTGCCAGAGCCTTGAGCACTCTGTGGGAAAGCTGTGGGGGATTGCTATGAGAGTCACGCAGGCGGTTTACGATTTCGCTTTTAGGCGGGTGTGAGTCTTAGACCCCAAACCCTAAACCCTAAACTGAAACGGCTTGCAGTTCAGGGGTGTTGCTTAATCTTTGGGTTTTTGGGGATTCAGGCCATGGCTTCGGTGGGTTTGGGATGGGCTTTGGGCTTTGTTGGTTTGGGGTTCCCTAAACCCTAAACCCCTAAACCCCTAAACACTAAACTCCTAAACCCCTAAACCCTAAACCCGAAACCCTAAACCCTGCATTGCCCATTATAAAGGAATATACCATAGTTCCCATAGTTTAGGGTCCTTGGGGTCATGCAGGATTTATATCATCAACCGTATGAAGACAGGTTTGGAGGTGCCAAGGTTTTAGTATTTTGGGGTGGTAGTGGCCTAAGAATTCAAGAACAAGAAGTTGATGCCTAAGAACCCGTTTTTGTTTGAGACGCATAGAGGGCTTGTGCTGCAAAGGAGCCATCTTTTTCCGGGTGTTTGCGGGCGGACTTGTGGACCAGGAAGGCTTGATTTGGCCACCGCGGTAGCCGCATTCCGGTCGAGGCAAGCGCAACGTTCCGAAAGATCGTCTTAAACCAAACCCGAAACCCTTAACCCTCAACCCTAAATCCTAAACCCTACCCGCAAACGCTACCCAGCAACTCCACGGCCCCTAACAGCAATCGTCAGGCCCCGACCAAGAAAGCTCAGCAACTGCAGCACGAGCGTAAGGAAGCAAGTAGATGTACGATCAACACTCAATGCCCTATATAAACCCTGACCCCGAACCCTGAAATCTCTGAACTCGTAACCCCTAGTCGTATTTGCAGCCGTCACCATGTTGATGGAGTTTGCAGCCCTCACGCTGGCGATCCTAGTGGCGCTCTGCGTAGTGGTTCTTTGCGTTCAGGCTGGGCTTTGTGGCTGAGATCTCTAGAATCTCTAGAACTAGGACCCAGAGTAGGCCCTTAGTCCCTTTTTAAGGGTTCAGGTTCCCTTATCAGCCACTTTAAACCAAAAAGGGCATCCTTTTTTATTCCTAGGTTACTCTTGGGCCTAGAGAAAACACAGCCCCAGAACTGCCCTCTCCAATAAAAGCCTAAACCTAAATGACAAGCCCTGAAGCCTAAGCCAATTGATTCCATTTCCATGTTATTGTGGTCCTGAAGCCCACACCCTTGCAATGGAACCCTCATGAGCCCCAAGTGCTTTCGCCCTAGGTTTTGGATTTAAGGGCCCTCGGACAGAGATCCTCGTAAGAATCACCCGAAACATTATGCTGTAATAAGCGAAAAGCACTCCGAAGCACTGATGAAACGGTTTAGGGCTTACGGTTTGGGGTTCTCTCCTCGAAGCTGGCTATGAAACGGTTTAGGGCTTACCTAAACCCGGAATAACCTACCTTTTTAAGGCCTTATATAAGGAAATCATAATAAGGAACCCTAAACAGGTAGGTTATTCAGGGTTAAGGTAGAGTTCAGGGTTCTCTGCTCGGAGTTGGTTCTTTGGGTTTTGAGGGTTTTTTAGTCTACTCTGGGTTTCAGGGCTTCCTCTCGGCTGGTATTAAAGGGAACTCCAGAAAGTTGGAATATGGTTTCATGGTAGGATACCCTATAATTTACCATAGAAGGGTTAGGATAATCACCTTAAGGGTTTCGGGCTTACTCTGAGCTGGCCTTTCAGGTTTAGGGCCTACTTTGGGCAAGCTTTCGGGCCGAAGGGCCTCTATAAACCCTAACCCCTTTTCCCGAAATCTCAACACCTACTCCCCAGCACCCCAATTTCGAAATTCCTACACCCTACTTGGAGGCCCTTTTGACTTAGTAAGTAGGGTTAGTAAAGTAAGTTATGGGGATTATAGTAGGGTTTCTAGGGGATACTAAGTAGACTTACTAAGTCAAAAGGGCCTCCAAGTAGTACCCAGCCGCTCTCTTCGGGAAGGAGCAGGAGACGCGGCGAAGATCTCAGTCTCAGTCCGACACCGCCGGTCCCGACGTTGAGGAGGAAGCCGACGTCCGCTACATGCATAGAATCTGGGAAAGAACTTAGAAGACCCAAAGCCCTGAACCCTGAACCCTAGACCGTAACTTTAAAAGCTTTCTGCTTTTGGTCTTGATGGGTCTAAGGGTAGGGAGCGGAGTTCACTTCTGGCATATCATACCGTCCTCCAATATGAATCCACTGACCTCTCAACACTGGAGCGCCCGTCCTTTTTCTCAAAAACCCCAATCTCAGACCCCTAAACCATGCACGCCTAGGCCTAATCCCAAACTTCTGAACCCTGTAAACCCTTAGCCGTAAACCCGATTTCCTGTAAGCCGTATACCCCGAAGTCTGAGCCCTATAAGGATTCTTCTTGCAGCGCAGCGGCTATCCGAAAGCTCCAGCAGAGGCCTGCGCGACCTCAAAACAGTAATCTTGGGTTTAGGGTTTTTCCAATAAAGGCTTGGGGATGTATATCATACTCGAATTGCTTTAGGGAGTAGGAGGGCTTCGTCACGTAGGGTTCTGCCTGAACCCCTGCACACTCAAGAAATCCCTTAACCGCTGTGGTGGGTTTTAACTGTGTGCTGCTTTCTGGCTTGGGTCCGCTGATCTGTTTTGGACAACCTCTAAACCCCAAACTCTAAATCCTAAACTCTAAACCCTAAACCCTAAACCTTAACCCCTAAACCCTAAACCTTAACCCCTAAACCCTGCTGCCCTGCAGGGACCGGAAGATGATCTCCGTGAGGTCGTGGTGGATTCTGCCTGGCTTCTTGACGTTTTTTTAAGGTTTAGGGTTCACTTTAAGGCCGGTTTAGGGTTTAGGGTTCACATTAAGGCCGGTTTAGGGTTTAGGGTTCACTTTAAGGCCGGTCTAGGGTTTAGGGTTCACTTCAAGGGCTCTTTAATGATACCAGGATAATACACGCGTTTGAGGGGTAGGGTGTAGGGTTCAAGGTTTTGGGTTTGGGCTTAGCATGGCTCTTGCTTTCTCCGGTTTCTTATGCCAACATGAAGGTTGCTGTCAAAACATGTTGAGTGTAGCAGGCCCGTGAAGAAGAGTAGTTTCTGTGCCCAGTCTCAGTGGTCGTCTTCTTGTCGTCGTCATCACGTAATTGCACCAGTGCGCTTTAATGACCACTATCCCAATGAGCGTTCATCAGTGATGCGGTTGATGATATAAATCCTGCACTACCTTAAGGACCCTAGACTATGGGATTTATGGTATATGCCTTATTATGGGTAATGCAGGATTTATATCATCAACAGTACGAACAACAAGAAGCAGGTTCCTGACATTACAGACTAAGGGTATCCAACACAGCGGCGGTTGCAGGATCTGGCCTTCAAGACCAGCATGTGGGTGGTTGTCAAAATCACGGTCACTTTTGGGGTCCTCATTATAGTACGGCACTAATATTTAGGGTTCCCAAAAAGGGGCCACAATTTTGACAACCACCCATGTTAACGAGGGTTATATGGGAGTTTCCCAAAGAAGGGGACCCGAATATAGCACCCTAAACAGTAGGATCCATATTATAAGGACCCCAACTTAAGGTACCCCTAATGTTCGGACACTCCCACACGTTAGGGTTTCGGGTTTTATGTAGACCCTGGACAGGAGTCCCAGGGCTGGTACTCCTAAGCCTGCGTTCGCACTTTCTGCACCTTTGACCCCCACTCGGAATAAATACCAAAGTTAGATATTCCAGAACCTCAGAGCCGTAAGTCGGGCTATCCCTACAGCAGAGCCTACTATAGAAGACTGAGTGCTAGGAGTACTTTCCTGAAAGACATGTTTGGGGATAGTGTCCGCCGCCGAAACGCTGATCTACTTACTAAACCTCCTATGGTAGAAGCCCAAAAGTTGGAAACCCAACAGCCTCAATCCTGAAGAGTAATGTAAAGGTACTCCCAGCGCTTCTTGTCCGTAGTCAGGTTTCCAACTTTTTGGGGTTTCCTAAATCTAGGATGCCCAGTAGTTCCCTGATTCCCTTTTTGTAGTCCTAGGTTCCTTATAAAGTTACCCAATACCAAAAAGAGAGGCCTTTTTATTCTTAGGTTACTGGGTATCCTAGAAATGGTAAAGACTCATCAGACCGAGCTCTCCGAAGGAGTCGCCAAGCGCTTGCAGTGAACTCTAGCCGAGGCCTATATGGGTGGCTGTCAAAATTAGGGTCCCTTTCTGGGTCCCTACTATAGTACGGCACCTATTCTTTAGGGTAGCCAAAAAGGAACCCTAATTTTGACAACCACCCATATAAACTTGAAAGCTCTGAGGCCCAGACCGTAGTCCCAAAGCCACAAATCCAAGCCCTAGGCCCCCAAAACCCTGTACTACCCTACACCCTAAACCCTAAACCTTAAGCCCTGAACCCTAAACCCTAAACCTTAAACCATAAACCCTAAACCCTAAATGCCTTTAACCCCTGAAAGGCCTAAACACCCCTGCACACGAAACCTCCTAGGACAGAGCCTGCGTGCCAGCCGAGCACCTGCATCATCTGCCTGGAGCCGGTGACCGCGGAGCCTTCCTCCGGGCTCAGAGGGTTTATCAAAGGGGAAGAGGAGGGACCCTTAATGGGGACCCCTACCCTATAATGGGTATATAATAGCTATATTAAGGGTATACACCTAGGGGTCCTTATTAAGGGTCCCTCCTTTTACCCTTGGAGCTTAGAAGTTTGGGGATCGCTGCTCTTTGAAGGTTTTTGTAGGGCTTCTAAGAGGGATCTTTTCGCGTTCTGTTGAGGGTTTAGGGGTTTAGGGTTTAGGGGGAGGTTAAACTTTAGGGCTTACTGCTATTTGCAGATACGGGTTTCTGGGGTTTCTGGAAAGCGGTTGGTCTGCTTGGGTCGCTTGGAAGCCAGAGGGGGTATTTCGGCTCTGAGGGTTTAGGGTTACAGGCTGTCGCGATGTTCGAGGCGACCTTGAAGCAGTCCAGCTCACAGAATGCTCCAGGGAAATT